AATTTCTATTCGTGACAATGCATCTGCAGCTACATTATCACGACCTTTTACATATACAACCTTAAAATCGTATTCTTCGAGTAATAACCGAAACTTTAACAACCTACTGGAAGGATCTGTCAAATTATATAAAAATACCAATGGTCTGTGATCAGTTTCAATAATAAACTTCCTCCCATAGAGATACGGTCTAAAGTATTTTACAGACCAAACTATTGCTAATAATTCCTCTTCGATGGTTGGGTATCTGCGTTCGGCCTTATTTAAACTACGGCTGGTGTAAGCAACGGGCCTACGATCAGCATTACATAACACAGAGCCTATAGCGTATCCCGATGCGTCTGTTTGTAAAATAAATGTATTATCATCATCAAATAAAGGATATTGCAGTATGGGGGGGTTCAAAAGGGATTGTTTTAAAATATTAAATGATTTTTGACACTCTTTATCCCAATTAAAAGTTACATTCTTACGACACAAGTTATTTAAGGGTATACATATTTTGGCAAAATTTGGAATAAACTTTCTGTAATAATTGGAAAAAGCTACAAACCGTTTTAGTTCATCTGAATTTTTAGGAACTGGATAATTGTTTAAAACTTCATTTTTTTCTGGATCAGGTTTAATGCCGTCCGCAGATACTACATGTCCTGAATATAATATTTCTTTCCTAAGAAAATCGCACTTCTCAGGATTTAATTTTAAATTTACCTTCCTTAACCTTGTTAAAATATCTAATAAGTTTTTATTGTGAATATCTAAATTTCGACCAAAACAAATCAAATTATCCAAATATACGAAACATTTGTCATAATTGAGTCCTGACATTGCTACAGTCATTAAACGTGAAAAAGAACTTGGACTAGTTTTTAAACCCATCGGCATTCGAGTCATTTGATACTGTCCAGAAGGAGTAGTGAATGCCGTATACTTTCGACTATCTGAATTTAATTTTGATTGGAAATATGCATTAGTTAAATCGAGTTGAGAAAAATAAGTTGCACCTGAAAGCGAATCTAAAATATCGGTAATATTTGGAAGGGGGAACCTATCGTCCATTACGCGATCATTTAATTTTCTAAAATCAATAACTAAACGCCACCGTTTAGTATTGTCGTCTGATTTCTTGGGTACTAACAAACACTGGGCTAGACCACTCACTATTCGCAGGCTCAATGATGTCATTATCAAGCATTTTTTGAACTTGGTTCTCAATTTCGTTTCGCTGCGAAAATGGTAAACGATATTGTTTAACGTATACTGGCTCTGAATTCAGTTTCAACTGAATATTTTGTTCATAAAGATTGCATGTACCTTTTTTTTTTTTTTTTTTTTTTTTTAACGTGTGGAAATCCCCTCGGACCGTCACCCCACCGGGGTTTGCGGCGGGGTGGTGGTCGGACTCGAACCGACTAAAACCACACGGTGTGCCCTCTTTGCGCTTCCAGTTTAGGAGGGGTCCAGGTAGTTATCGCCTTCTGGACCCCTCCTAGCGCCGGCCCGCTCCTAGATTGCATGTACCTAACTTATCCCCCCGTAAGAAAAATGTATCAGAAAATTTTGCACAAATATTTTGTATACTAATGCTTTCCTCTTTGTTTAAATGATCCAATTTTATCAATGATAATAATTCCCGAACTCTTTTGCCATCTGAATGTTGTTTTTCAAAAGAACAAATTTTATAGCAAGATAAACTATCCACATCCGGTCTAAAATAACTAAGCTTAACTTCTGTTTCGCGTGTGTTTAAAATTTGTATTAAAATCTTTCCCTCTTTCGGTTGACAGATACTTCCAGCAATATACACACCCTCGCACAACTCTTTCGGAAAAACAACACAATCGTCTTTCAAATACGAATTAATTTCAAAAAAAAAATCACACCTTGGGGGTACCGTAATGAAAGTGTTTTTACCTAATTTTCCTAATCCTAAGGATATCGTAATAGAACTGTGTTATAGTATTGTTTTCATAATTCAAAATACAACAATATTTAGTTAAAAATTCTCGCCCTATTAAACCGTCTTGGATACAAGGTAGATTTCTAAGAACATAAAACTTATGTTTGAATTCCTTTCCACCTAAGGAAAATGGTATGTAAACAAAGCCTTCGGCGTGCGATTTGCCGCCAATACCATTAATGGTTATGCATTCGGGATGCATCGGAATGTTCCACTCTCTTACGGTGTCATATTTAATCACCGACATCGAGGCTCCCGTGTCAACTAGCATCCTATATTTGGTACCGAGTATTGTCAATTCTATGAAATTATTATAGTCACATGACAATATTAAATTATTCTCGAAAAAACTCTACGGATGGCTTTATATTTTGACAATTATCCGAAGTATTTACTGTAGAATTCTCCTGTTGGCTTAACATATACGCGTTTCGTCGATTATCCCGAGTATAGTTACCTCGGTTAGCAGATCCGAAATTCCGTCCGCGTCCACCAAAACTTTGCCTATAGCCTCTATTATTATTTCCCCGGAAAAATATTCTAGAGTTCGGCTGATTCCCTACATCGTTCCTGTACCTAGGATTTTGCATACGTACATTATATCCACCTCGTCCTCTTCTGCGGTGCTGACTGCTGAAAATTGTCTCCACAGATGTACTGGGGCCTTGATGTGAAGTTTCTTCATCCTTAGCCGCTCTAATGGCATCCTTTAGCACACAGTAATTTCGGGCCGCTAAAATGATGCTTAATCGACTATTTCTCAAGCTTTCGGTAAACCTTTGAATTGCCAATTTTTCATTTATAGGCTTTAGAATATTAAAACACCTGGCATCCTCATCAGCTTGAGACATAGTCAATTTAACAAATAAATCCTCCAGTCTTTTACCAAATTCCTCGATACTTTGAGAACCTTTCCTGGCTCTCACCATCTCCAACTGCAATCGTGGCTGTTTGCTTGGCTAAAAGATGAGTTTTCATGTCAACAATTAGTTCTGTAGAAGATGTATAATTAGTAGCTAAACGCAACTTTGCACTTTCCGATAACCGAGTCTTAAGTACAAAAGAGATTAATAGTTGCTGATGCTCTTTTTTCAAAGTGTCGCTATAAAATTCTATACAATCGATTAATTTTTTCGTGACTTCCTCATCTCCTGTCATTACAGGAAGCAGGGAAGTTGCAGTTTTCATGTCAAACTCAGTAGTCATGGCGCCGGTTTCTAAATTTTTCGTATCCAAACAAAATTTGACTATATACTGATAATATATCTCTATTTCTTCGCATATAACTAAAATATTTTCTACTTCCTGTTGCTTAAAATGACCCTTATTTACACTTAAGTTTAACTGTTCACGTCTCGCAGTATATCTATCATAAAAATTTCTAGCTTCCCTGTATTTTTGCTCTAACAAAGATTTTGTTCTTTAAACAATACTTATTTTTCCTAGATTTACTTTAATATACTTCAATTTCTCGTGTATATCTTGTATATCAGACATTAAAAATTAATTAAATTATACCTTTATACCTTAACATTATATAGTAGTACCTATAAAAAAAAACAACATATTATGCCGACCTAATTTCAATTTAAAGTTTATTTTTGTAGCACTCTGTAACTGTTTTTATATTTCCTATTAATTCACTATTTCTGTCTATTCTTAAACCGCACTTCAAAGCTTTTATATTTCACTTTCACTTACGTAAACACATATCACCAAATATGAAGGTAAGATTCTGAACATTTTTCTTTAAGCAGCAATAGGATCCTTGTTTCGTGGTTCTCGCCTGGACCCAGACCTTCTGAAAGCGCTCCGAGCTATCTCCTCACGCATCCAATTCGTGTGACATCGCTTATACAGTTTATAAATTGCAAATTTCACTCCAAATACTAATATTATAAGAATGACTCCTAAATTATATTTGTTACTCCTTGGTTCTGGTGTATCTGTGCGACATCGGCCGTATTCACTCCACCTGCAGCATTTTGGGCAATCACTATCTCTTCTTTGCTTGGTTTTCCTCCCATTTTCCAAAATGTTATATTTTACCTCACACGTCGTTTACGAACACCGTTGAATTATTTCTACCAAGCGTCATTGTATTACACGCTACCAATACCGAAACCGAAACCGCACCTTAAATGGCAGGGTCGCCGTGTAAGGACGGGACTCGCACTAATCAATAAGAGATGTTGCTTGTACTGAGATAGCTTTATTAATCCCCGATTACAACATTACACATGTCTTAAATACTAAGATTACTACGTCACAAAGGCACGTTTTATGTTCCAAGTCTTGTATCTTTAATTATCCCCATAATCCTTAACATCTTATGACAATAACATCTAATTGTTTTATACCACTATTCAACACTACTAATAATTCGTTGAAATGCTTTTTTAAAGATCTGATATTGACATGCAGTACACATAAGGTTCTTTTGTTTACCAATGAATTCAACCAGATATTTGTATTATTTACACAGTTATAATTTACAAGGTTTTCATATATTTCGTCTATACTATTGAAATCTGCGAATTTTATTGATAAGAAATAGACTAGTATGCGCTCTTATTAGATTATGTAATTACGTAAAAGTCTAGGTACATTTTGCGATCTTGTTGTATAGTTTATTAAGTTCGCTTTCGCTTCTTACCCATATAGCTTGCTCGCCTTCTTTTTTCTTTACCAGCACTTTGCCATTTGTCACCCATACAAAGTCGTATATGAAGCGTAATTTTTTCTTTGCATTCCAAATCAGGCTTTTAGTGGTCTTCGATAAGTCTTCGTTAATTTAAATTTTGTTGGTCATCTGTCCTCCTGTGAGAATATTACTGTTTATGTCTATGAGTGACCGACGTTTAGATAACCAATTATTCCGAGCTTCAGTTCCTGTTGTTTTGAAACCAACTATAATCCAAGGTGGCTTCGCTCCCGGTTGAGGCGGTCTACTACGCTTTACCCATTCAATTTCATTGTTGTTAGCACCTATTTTGTTACCAAGTTTAACTACTAGTTCTTTGACAACTTCTCCCGGGATTTATTCAATGCCTTCAATCTCCAGGTTTTGTTTGCGGGTAGACTGGTCAAAGTCATGGATTTTTTGTTCCAGCGCAAGGTTGTACTTTTCCAAGTATACACACTTATTTGATATATTCAGTACCGTCTTTTCCAGCTTAGTAATTTTTTCTTTAGCTCGTTCCTGCTCACTAACCAATACATCATACTTATCAGATAACACACTTAAACTTTGTGGAACTGTGTCTAGATGTTTCCTGATGCTGGGTATAGAACTGACCCTTTTCTGTATATCTTTCAGGATTTTTAGAAGTTCTTGCTCTTCCTCATCAGGCTCCTCTACTTCCGATCCCTCTTCCTCGCAGTTGTTGCAGTAAATTCTATTTATACCTGCCTTCATATCACCTGCCAGTCCTCTCACACAACTCCTGTGAAAAGTCCCCTGACACTGTCCTTGACACATGAAATGCGATCCCTTTTTTGAAAGTGTCTTTTTAAATTTCTGGCATTCCATATTGACTCGATTTATGTGGTTAAACTGTAAATAACAAGTCGATGTAATTTAACGTAGCGTACGTGCGCATCGATCGCCGCTACGCGCGAGACTGAGACTGAGATTGGTAGCATTGATTAAATTATTTAATATTCGTTGACTTCCGGGTTCTAGAAAGTAGAGCGTCAGTTGGTCAGTTGGTGCCGGTGCAAGATTTTGTGTTGTATGCAATGAGTCCCGCTGATTTTATTTTGAAAGTAACAATATTAGTTTTGTTGTGGAGTGTGTGTGTGTATGTGTGAAATTAGGTTTCTTACTAGTGTTTCAAATATATTGATTTATCGATATTAACATTCATAATAAACCTTTACAGCCACGAGTGACCTTTACAGCCGCAGAGTATACTGACATGGTCCTAATTTACGGAGAATGCCATCAAAACGCTTTTTAGCTTAACTTGTTTGTCCTACAGACAGTCGAACTTTTGTTGTGGTCGTCAGGAAGCGTCTTAATCTCATTTTTGGTTAACAGTGGACACACGATGGCTACCTTGATCACCAGATCTCACGCCTTTAGACTTTTTTTTGTAGGGATGTGTTAAAAATGAAGTGTATGCAACAGACGCCACTTTAATAGAAGACCTAAGACCGAGGATAATTAATGTACAACTCTGTGTAAAAAGTATCGGGAATATGTCAACAAAAAGACCCGCGTAAAAGAGGTCGTTCTAATTTTTTTACTGCATGTTGGTAGCACTGTACTGATTAAGCGCGCAAAATTTGAGCGGGATCTGTCATTTAATTTGTTTTAAACTACACTTCTTGTTGGTGATAGTTTTGAGTCCTCGACGATTTTTACAATGGAAAATATTGTTGAACAAAGAGTGTGCCTTAAATTTTGTGTTTCGAATGATATTTCTTGTGGTGAATCATTAAAAATGTTGCGAAATACCTACGGCGAATCGTGTATATCGAAAACAAGGGCTTATGAATGGTATAAGGCTTTTAAAGAAGGCCGAGAAGTAGTAGTAGACTTGCCTCGTTCTGGTAGACCTTCAACCGCTACGACCAAAGAAAACATCGACAGAATCAAGAAGCTAGTGCTCGAAAATCGACGTATGAGTCTGAGAGAGTTGGCAAGTGAGGTGAACATATCTTTAAGTCCGTCCACAACATTCTCATTGACAATTTAGGCATGAAACGCGTCGCCGCTCGACTAGTTCCAAAAGAGCTTAATTTTGTTCAAAAAGCACAGCGAAAGCATGTCGCTGAAGACATGGTTTCCCGAGCTTCTAGGGATCCGACCTTTATGAAACGTATAATAACTGGCGACGAGACATGGGTTTATGAGTACGACATGCAAACAAGCCAACAGTCTTCAGAATGGCGTCTCGAAAACGAGCCGAAACCAAAAAAACCGCGGCAAAGTCGCTCCAAAATAAAGGTGATGCTGACAGTTTTTTTTGACTACCGTGGTGTGGTTCACTCCGAATTCCTTCCAGAGGGAGAAACAGTGAATAAAGAATATTATTTAGGCGTCATGAAGCGTTTGCGTGAGAGTATCCGCCGAAAACGTCCAGATTTGTGGCAACACAACTCATGGATGCTGCACCATGATAATGCACCATCACACACAGCCATTATAGTGAAAGAGTTTTTAGCGAAAAATTCAACAAAAGTTCTCGACCAAGCACATTATTCACCTGATATGGCTCCGTCTGACTTTTTTTTATTTCCCAAATTAAAATTACCACTTCGAGGAAAACGTTTTGAGTCGATAGAAGCCATAAAAGAAAATTCGCTGAATAAGCTAAAGGCCATACCGCAAATAGCCTATGAAAAATGTATGGAAGACTGGGTGAAGCGGTGGAGATGTTGTATTGCAAGCGATGGGGCCTACTTTGAAGGCGATAAAATAAATTTAGATTAATAATTTGTATTTTTTGTTTTATTGACAAATTCCCGATACTTAGTACACAGAATGTATTTGATAAAATAAGAGCTTTAGCTTTTAGAATGACAACTTGTGTTCTAAAATATGGAAAAACATGTGTATTCGATGCATTGATATGAACTAGACACATTGAAAACCTAAAAATTTAAATTAGATTTACATTAATTTGATATACTATTGTATGTATGATGTACTAAACTCATATTTTGTACTAAATTCATATTTTAATAAATTAATAAAGTGATTTTAAATAAAAAGCAAGTGATTAGAAGTATTGAAATAACTGATTAGTGATAAGAATGTAATATTCGGCGACTCGACGTGGCGCCCGCGGCGTCGCGTCACCGCGTCGCTAGGCTCGTTTTGATGTTGCCGCCATTTTTACATCGCTGCCAACGCGGCGTCTACAGGTGAGTGACCCGTGTGATCAATGGTGCTCCGATTCGGCAATATTTTATTGTATTTATTTTGTTCTAAATTTGCATTTCTGTATTTTATAAAAAAAAATATATATATTTTATTTTAAACGACTTATATTAAACTGTGTAATCTGTGATTAAAAGGTTTGTCATAACAAATTTTCACACGTCACTTCTACCATGCGGTAGTTGTACAATATATTCAGTATTCTGATGAAATTAAAGTTGTCAATGGTTTACAGATTTACAAAGGCCCAAAAAAAGAACAAGTGAAGAATTATTAGCCAGAAAACGAGCAGCTGAACAAGCAAGAAGAGATAAGATTAAGTTGAATAAGGAAAAACAAAGATACCAGAAAAGGGAAGAAGATAATAAGTTCATATAGTACAAATAAATGACATAACACTCAGACAGTAGAAGTACTCAAGCCTTTCAAAGGTGCGATGCAAGTTCACCAAATTGTTTAGCATAAAAATATTTAGAACACTATTACTCTTCAAAAGCAAAGCTGTGTTTCGGCTCTTTGCAAAAACCAAGCCGTAATATGTGTCAATGCTAAACATATGGGATTTATTGTTTACCCACATCAAGCAGCTCTCCTATAAGAAGTAAACCAATCATAATATCAAACATATTGATTGACCCTGCGAAAGAGTCACTGCCAACTGCATATCAACCTGAAGTCTCGATGTCGTCGTACTTACCATCTTATGTCGTTTCCCTTTATCGTTCTCACAATTTTATACCTAAAGGTAATGTTGGTTAGCCAGTTGTGATACAGGATATTAAACTGATCACAGCAGTAATATCATACCTGAATCAGTCTTGACTGATGGTCTGACATCAACAGCACAGGATATAAAATGCTCACCAAATGAGACAAAAGCTTATTTATGTTCTGACCTGAAAACTATTCCCGATTTTGTGGAACCCATTGCAGAAAATACTGAATTACGGATAGCTTCTCTGCAAAATGTTTTAACCAGTACAGCTGAAACCCCAGGATCATGTTGACTATGTGATGCTCAATTGCTTCAAGGTGATACACGTCTTTTTGGCGAAAACCCTAAGTCAGCCTCCATAATTACTACAGATAAAGAAATTTCTCAAGGTCAGGAAAAGACTTTCAAAATTGGATCTTGGGTCATTATTTCCTAAAAAGTCAAGAAAGCAACGAAATACTTCGTTGGCCAGAATATTAACACCAATGAAGATAGTAAATTTGTTGTTGAGTTTTTAAGAAGACTCAAGGGCACGACTGATACTTTTACTTGGCCGGATAATGACGACGAATATTGTGTCTCAGAACATTCTATAGCAAGGACGCTCAGTGAGCCAAATATTAACCGAAGTGGTCAACTAATGTTTAACGATATCCAAGACTTTGCCCTTAAATAATTTGTATGTACTTTTGATTACAAATATTTTTTATTAAATTTAAGATTTGATTATTAAATAATGGTGATGATGATGATTATGTAATACTATTTTTGTTTTATTGTTTAGTACACACTAATTCAATTGTTGTCAATACCGTGTATCAATTAGTAATTACCATGTCCCGATTCGTAATTTCCATGCCAAAATTAGTCTTCTAAAGTTTTGGGGGCTAATAATACTAATAATTATTTAAGGAAATAGTAAAAAACCTTCGATCAGATTATAAATGTAGACATTCTAGACACATTTTTCTTTTTTTTTAAATATTTTTTGAATAATTACCCTGTCACATCTGTAGCTTGCTACATTATACTAATCTGTGCCGTAAAGCTAAAGATGCGTTTTGATAGAGTTTCCCATCCATTAACATCATGGCAGGATATTTTTTTATTTATTTTATTTTTAATTAATTGGTACAGTTACAGACAACAGATCATGCCTCACACAGTAATAAGTAACAGCGTATAATTTCAAATCTGAAGTCCAATTAAAACTATACACATCATTCACAATCGCGGTGATAGAGCTTCAATTAGGTGTTAAACAAACGAGAAAAAAGATTATTAAATAAGAAAATGAGATGCAGCAAATTGACTAATTAGTTATATCTACAAATGTGTTACTATAATTTTACATTGATAGGTTTAGACATTTCAGATTAATTATGTAAAAAGCACTTGAATACATTTATACTATCATTAAAAATATCTATTTGAGAACATATATCGTTATAACGACTACACATTCTAAAAACCGGATTGTTGCGTGAAACATTGTTGTTGCTAGTTGGTATAGTAAACAGTTGTGGTGTGCGCACAGATCGCGTTGGCGTCTTGAAGTTCAACATATCAATAAGTTGACAATCTAGGGAACCTTTCACAATTTTGTGTAGGGTACACAAATCGCTCATCCATCTCCTTTTCTCCAGCGTGACCATTTTAAACTCCTTAAGTCGATCGTTATACTCTTTTAATTTTCATTTCAAGCCAAACTTAAAACATAATGCTCTCACAAACCGCTTTTGTATTGCTTCTATTCTTTCTATGTGAGCATTGTAGATAGGCATCCATACAGACGAGCAATACTCGAGTAAAC